CCTTTCCCAAATACATTAGTCGTAAAAGTGATCTCAGCAGACTAGACCTGAACTTGAACTCAGCTCCCCAATTCAACTATCTGCTCATGTACAATACATTCCCTAAAAACTGCAAAAACATTTGAGGATTTAGGAGGCGTGACCGTTGAGTCGTATTTTATTTTACCTGTTTTAAAATAAAAAAAAGCATATGCTGCGAATTTTGCTTGATTCCATCCACCTTTAATCTAAGAATAAATATATCTTAATTCTGACTGCTGATGTTACAGTTATGACAATAGAATCAAAAATTGTTTGTGTTTAATCAAATTAGTTGCACCTAAACGTCCACGTCCTGGGTATGACTATAAACTACATCCGCGTCCTTGGTAAGACGATAAACTACGTCCAACAGCATCCCCAAACCCATATCTCGTCCTGGGTATGACGATAAACTACGTCCTGGGTATGACGATAAACTACATCCAACAGTAAGGCCTCTGATAATACGTTTTTGAAAAAATAATGTTGCCAGCTGTACGTTTTTGAAAAAATATTACCAGCTATACGTTTTTTTTTGTTTGTTTTTTGGAAAAAATAGTGTTGCCAGCTATACGTATTTGAAAAATAATATTACCAGCTATACGTTTTTTTGAAAAAATAATATTACCAGCTATACATTTTTGAGGAAAAAATATTAACAGAAATAGATTTTTGACAAAACAAAAATATTACCCCCCCTAAAAAGTTGCCGACATTAAATGACCCATTGAGGTTGATGTGCCGTAAAACAAACCAAACCAAACCTAAATGCTCGCAATGCAATCTAACGTGGACAATCCAATATCTATGTGTGTGCGTGTATGTGTCACAGCGTGTGTGAGAGAGATAAAAATAAGGAGAGAGAGAGAGAGAGAGAGAGGGAGGGATCCGTTCGTTTCCCTCTTCTCTTACTCTCTCAATCCTTTCTTACTTTTTATTCCTTGTTGTTTCCTTTCGTCGCTCACGACCTTTTCTTTTTCCACTTCTTCTTCCCCCCCCCCACCGCCTGCCGCTCTCGCAATGTGCTTCATTAATTTCCTTCCCCCCCCCCACCTCCTTTTTTACTCCCACTTCCTACTTTTTCGTTCCGTTCCTCCATCTCCTGTTTGTTTCGTTCTTATCTCCGCTAAAAATAAATGCTCTTATATTTCCTATTTTTAGAACTTGGGGGTAGGTTTGGGGGGAATCTCGATTTACGTCTTCAACTAGCGAATGCCTCCCCGTCATAAAATGAAACGGAATAAAAATTATTTTCTAACTTCTGATATCACAAGTTCTTCTATGTTCCGTGTCCCTTCAGGACATGGACGATCGTGGCTGTCCATAAATTCTTGCTTTTTTTCTGGCTCTTTCTTTGTCTTTTTGTTGTCCCGCCTAATCCTTGTTCTAAGCCAACCATTTACACAAGTTCGGTAGGTTTTCTCTGTCCCACTTGCCTTTAATAAGTCCTGTGTGTGTGCCAATCAATTAATATCAGAAATGCTATTATTATTATTATTATTATTTCCTTTGATTTCTGGGATTTACACATTTCTTTTCGGGTCCCGCCCAGGGACCTAAGGATAGAAATGGCATCATGACACTTTCCACTGACAAAAAAAATATTACATAGATAAAACCCTTCGTAAAGTGTGGGCTGTACTTGTCAAAACATTTTTTTGTATTTCTTTAAGGCATGGACTTCCAGGAATCCCTTCAATTAGTCTACTGAAATCTTTTCCAACCAATCCTAGGGCTCCAACGACAACAGGGATTGTTGATGTTCCCATATGGCACATTTTTGAGATTTCTATTTCAAGGTCCTTGTATTTTGACAGCTTTCTGAATATCTTCAAAGATACATTGCAGTCAGCAGGGACTGCCATATTTTGTTTGTGGTCTTTAATAACAATTATTATTATCTAAAAATATTCTTTTTAACCTGCATTTGGTTTATAATCATATGTCGTATCATGACATATGATCTAGAGCAAGCGAATGATTTATTGTTACCGCTTAATTTTAAAAAAAGACAGCTATTAAAAAAAGAAAAACTTAAATGGACAAAGCTCTTCGCAGACTGTGCTTGTTAGAAGTATTTTTATGGGAAGGTTTTCTGATTATATGGTGTTCATTGGCTGTTGAGTTCTTTTTTTTTTTATCAGACCCAAAGCTCCAACCACAAAAGGAACAGTTTTTATGCGCCACACTTTTTCTATTTCCATCCCCAGCTTTTTGTATTTAATTAGGTTTTCAATAAACCTTCGCAGAGATGTTGTTGTTATTTGGTACGCTAATGTCAAACATTGTTATTATTATTATTATCGCATTGTAGAATGAAATCCCAAATCAGTTTTACACTCTCATTTTCTTCATTATTATTATTATTATTATTATTATTATTATTATTATTATTATTATTATTATCATCCTGCTGGTCCATCCCTTAGTTCCTTAGCAGGCACGTACGCTACGTTTTGAGAAAAATGGTTATGCTAGTAATTAAGACAAGCGAAATTTGTACATAAACTTGTATTTTTTTAATATTTTTTATAATTGTACGCAATTTTGAAACATGACTTGAAGAAGGTAAATCTACTGTCGAAACATTGTTAAACACTGTCTTTTCTTTTGCTATCTTTAAATCACGTTCTACGCTAAAATATTGAAAGAGTTGCGTCAATCGTTTTGATTATTATCATCATTGGTGCATGTTGTTTCCTGCTTTGTATCCTGTCGAGCCGGGTTCAAACTCTGGTCCTTCGGCCCTATAGGAGAATTGTCGTTTAATTCATAACACTTTTCTTAGTAAATGGGATGTTCCTAGTAGGACGATCTTCTGGGCAACTTGTATGTTGATGTTACCTGTGATACTGTTAGTAAAACTGTCCATTCCTTTTCTCAAGGGGCCCAGATTACTATTGGTACAGCCTCAGTCTTCATTCCCCACATCCTGTTAATCTCGATCTCCAGGTGCTTGTATTTGGACAAATTCTTGATAATTGTCATGGAGGTGTTTCTCTCAGATGGTACTGCTATATCAATAAGCATACACTTCATGAATTTCTTGTCTTTTATGATTATATCAGGTCTGTTGGCTTTTGTTTCCCTGTCAGTTTGAATTGGCATGTCCCAGAGGATAGTTACATCGTTACTTTGGTTAACTGTGTCTGGTTGATGCTCATGCCATCTATCAGTAATTTCGATTTTGTGCTTCTTGTATATCTTCCAGTGCACATATGTCGCTACCTTGTTATGTCCTGGGTATATTTATTTTTGGCTACTTCCGGACACCCTGACATAAAATGGTCGATAGTTTCATCATATTTTCCGCAGATCCTACATTTTGGGTTAGTTCCATCCTTGATTATGTGACAGTGATAAGGATCTGGTTGCGAGGTTTTGGTCCTGAGCTGCAATAATTATGACTTGTCTCACCTTTCAACCGGGTGCTCCTCAGCCACTGATGTGTTTTCTGTTGCCCCCACATCTCTTTCTTTTCTTCTTTTTAGGTTTTTGCCATGCAAAGCCCTTTCCCCCCCCGACCACCAGTATTTTTTTTATTTCATTTGGCCAAGTTGTTTTGCTTTCTGTTTTACTCATTTGGCGTAGATGATATTCGCTTCGTTTTTTGTTGGTAGGATTTCAGGTATATTAAGCTGTTTCTTGAAGACTACAGCTTCTTTGCTGATGGAGTGGATTTGGTATTTTACTATTTGTAGGAGAGGGTAATTGGTTTTTGTGAGGTACGCTTCCAATCCGATTGTTGTAGTTTTTAGTGTTAGTTTAAGTTGGATTAGAACTCGGCCTCCTAAAGCTCTTGGTACCTACAGCCTATCAATATCTGATTTCAGGTGAATCTACATTTGGATAAGCATTTTTCTGGTCTTGACGCGTAATCCATTAATACCATTCAGTTTCCACTCAATAACGTTGAATCCGTATGTTACTACGGATATAGCTAAGGTGTTGATAGCCTTCATGTTATTGGCTCCATTCAGTTTGCTTTCTAGTATCAAATGCATTCTCCTATGATATTCTTTTCGGGTCTTTTTCTTCATAATTGAATGTTGCATTCCGTCATTTGCATGTACCATCTTTTGGTCTAGTTCCTAAATTTTGTTGTTGGCTTAAATCTGTAGTTTTCGTTAGTTTACCGCCTTTGAAGGTGGCTTTGGCTTTTCCAAACTGCATCCTAATGTCTTCGCTGAAGGTTTTGACAATGGTGAGTAGGTTTTTTTCTGCTGGTTGTCATCCTTGGCAAACACTTGAAGATCATCAAATATAGAATAGGGGTTTCACATTGTGACTTGTGCCTGTAGCTACTGTTGAGGATTGTCCTCGGCGGGGTATTCCTCTAGTTCTCGTTGCGTAGAGTTTGTTCTAGTAGCAGACTTTTCGATCCCGTGTGGTTCCTCACTGGGATCGCAGTCCAATTTGATACGCGTGACGAACGATACGGTTTAGCTTATTTTTCGTTGTATCTGCATTATAGTTATTAGTATTTACCCATACGTGGGGGCTGATACGTGGGCGCCAGAGCATATCCATACCATGGTGGGCCATCACGTTCAGGGGGCCAGGTCCCCTCCTGCTACTACTACTACTACTACTAGTAGTAGTAGTCGTAGTAGTAGTATTTCATTCAAGGCAATTATATTGAAGCCAAAAGAAATTTCATTCTGAAATTATTTCCTCTCGTTTAATCGTTATCACTTTATTTTATTTGATTAAATTCGCTTTTTTTTATTTTCATTTTTTCTTTTTATCCAAATAATGACTTGAGCGGAATTCTTCGTAAACAGATTCATTCTGGAAAAAATGTCATAGCAATGAGGAAACTAGAAAAGAATTTAACATTTAAAAAACACAGATTGCTAGAGATTATTTTTATGTATTTTAAGCGAAGTCATCTGCAAATGGCGAGAATTCTGTAAACAGAGCAAAAACATTGAAATGTCTTTCAAAACAAGTTTTTTTTTATTATGCAAGACAAATATTTACTTTAACGCCACTTCAACACGAATAAATAGGAAGAGAGAGTGAGAGTGGAAAGAAAGAAACGTTAAGTTATATTGTAGATAGATAGATAGATAGATAGATAGATAGATAGATAGATAGAAAGAATAAGAAAGAAAGAAAGAAAGAAAGAAAGAAAGAAAGAAAGGTGTAACATAAAAATATAAAGGACAAAACAAATAGATAGATAGATAGATAGATAGATAGATAAGTCGAGATAGATAGATAGATAGATAGATAGATAGATAGATAGATTTACAACCTTATCAGTACATCCGAAAATTAAGAAAACCTCGTTCACATGGAAACCTTGTTAATTAGAACCTCTCGGGTTAATTTGAAATTGTTTTAAAAATTTAACAATAAAATTAATTTACACTATTTGCATTGATTATCCTGTTGCCCTCATCTTTATTGTCATATTCATGACGTTTCGACCATTGTTTCCTACGGTCTTCTTCAGGTGATATATGTTGGAATTTCGAGCCGAACCCTTTATTTATTTCATGGGTGGTAGATTGTCCCCAAAGACGCATGATCCAGTGGATAAAACCGTTGGTTGAAGTAATCTAGTGACGTGACCCAAAGAGTTGGGATTTCACAGCAGAGGTGAACAAAATACTTGGAGAGTTGAGTTACTAAAGGGAATTAATTAAAAACTGAAAAAAAGGCATGGCACGTGGAACTAGAACAATCTACCCCGAAGGACGAAATAAACGGTTCAGTAAAATTTGGATGTAATTCCTTGTATCTCTGTGTAGATTCAAGATAAGTGAACATTTAATTGTATTTATTATCATACCTATATACATACATACACTTACGCCTATACAGAAATAGGAAAACATGCATATACAAGTTTTGTATATGTGGGCGCATGTGTGTACACACCACTCTTTCTGAAGAATTAATAGGTTTTATTTTTAATCCCATATTCTTGTTATTTAAATGGTGTATCATATTAGATGCGTGTGTTTGAGTAGACGCCCTGTTTCTTATACAGTGTAAATTAAATCTACCGGTCTGCATATATGGGAATATTAATAAAGGGAATGTGCCCTCAGGTAGAGTTAGAAATTCGATGAAATAATTCACACTGTTAAAAACAGTGCGTCTACCGAAACACGGGTACCCATTCAAATACAATGTTTAATAAGAAATACCCATTCATAACAGATTTCATTTTCATGTCTTTTTTCACTTCCCTTTGTACTGACATATAACTGAAACTCCTCACTCACGTGACAAACGTCTTATGGATCCAGTTAGATCTTTTCTAATTGATCTCTTTAGCCCGAAGTTGAAATGATGACCCCTCTTCCTGCTGTGACCACATGACCCTGTTTTCACCTATACTGTTCCCTCTTTTTTAAACATATTCACCGTTCTCTTGATGGACTCTGAAGATTTAAGCCAGAATCAAAATGTTGGTACCATTACTAAAGGGCTGAATGATCTTTTTCCTCTTACCATTGCTCAGATGGGAAGACAGTGAGGCTGACATAAAACGATTTTAACCTGTCCTCTTTTTAGCTGAATATTTCAAAGGGTTTCTTCAGTGATACTTACGACAAGTGGTATCAAGATAGCTAAGCGACTTATCTAGGAAACCTGGAAAAAAAACTCAATTAGTTTAGTGTCTTTTAGATAGTAAACATTTTCTCGGATTGACAATTATGCTACAACACGAATTGCACAATTTTGTTGTTATATATATATATATATATATATATATATATATATATATATATATATATATATAATTTATTCGAAAATTATAACATAAATATGTTATAAAATCACTACAGAAATAGCCATTTTGTTTCAACATTCTAGTGTCTTATCAAGTGAGACATTCGACATCATCACTTGATAAGACAATAATTTTCGAATAAATAATTGTATTTACGCTACTCTGTATTGAGCACTCTTTTAAGAATAGTATTTGTTGGTTATTAGAATTTATTCCGTATACACCAATCCTATACTTATATATATATATATATATATATATATATATATATATATATATATATATATATATATATATATAATAAAAGATCCAATTCATAGACCTTAAATATTCAATTCAATGGTCATAATTTATTCCATTGGAATCGTAAATACGATCCAATTCATCAGACCTACAAATTCAAAAGGGAAAACGACGGTAAAAAAACAACTCCGGAAATACAAATCAAAAAAAACAAAATTTAGAGAGGACCTATATTTCTATGTTAAGAATACATACATACACAATAATATATATACACGTATATATATATATATATATATATATATATATATATGGGGGTAACAAATAAATAAATGAGAAAGGAGGGAGAGGGTAACAATTATCCTTAACAGAGAGAATTTTAGGAGAGGCAAAAAAAAAAATATTTTTGAATGGAAGGGTTTAAGATGGGGAGAAAAAGAGAAATATGAATGTTGTCGGATGTCTAATGCATAGAACTGCCGCAAAGATACATTTGGGGACATACACACACCATAGACAGGAAAATCTAGAATGTAGTGAACTGTTAAATGGCAGTAAATTCACGACAATCTCATCAGAGGAAGAAAAGATTGAAACAATGTTACAGAAGGATAAGATGGAACAACATGAGAGGAAACAAGGAAAGACGAGGTGGGGAGAGAGATGGGGCGAAGGAAAAGGTAAAATTGAACGACATTTACTGAAAGGACCTGCTTTGTAATTGAGAAAATTTGACAAATTTAATATCGACTGCAGGTTACAAATCAAATATAAACATATAAAAAATAAATATAACGATTATCTAATCAACGGTAAAATGTAAGACCCCAATCTATTTCTATGTTCAAAAACACATGCGAAATACATGTCGGTGAGAAAGTGACTGAAGTACAAGAACAATAACATATTTAATGTATATATATATATATATATATATATATATATATATATATATATATATATATATATATATATATATATATATATATATATGTTATCTACGCATTGAAATGGAATTTGACGATCGTTAGCCGGATCTGTTCCCGCCACTTGATATCGAATGAACGAAGAAATACTTGAAAAAAATCCGCAAATAAATGCTAAAGAATAACTGTCCGAGTCGGAGTAAAGAGCAGCCGCAATGAACCGGTCAGATTGAGATGTCTTTAAAAAAGGGAATAAATCACGAAAATCAAATATCTAAAGGAGAAGTGTTTCAACAGCGGAAGAAAAATGCGACACAATTATCCAAAGATGTATTGGAATATAAAATGTAAAAGTAGAGGTATTTATATTCTGGATTTGTCCCACTCCAAAAAAAGCTAAGTAATAATTGATTGATTTGTTTTTCATGGGTTATCAACCTTTCGCGGATTACTTAAAGCAAAAAAAATTGGCATATTAAGAGATAGTGATTTGATGGTGATGATTATATATATTTTTTATAATAATAATTTTCACTGATACAAGTTCTACAGAGTTGATTTAATGAAAAAATTAATCCATAGATGGGGAGAAAAGAATGAATGAAGATTCATACTTTTACCAATGGGTACCGGCGCCTAAATGAGGGATGGGATTATAACATAAGAGAGCCCACCCAGTGGCGACAGTCTATTTCATGCTTGAAACTCGGCTCTACGATTTTAATATATATATATATAGTCGATATCCATTAGAACTGATTGACATTGCATTTTACATTTTTGCAGACACCCATGGAGCACCAGGTATTCCCTAGCCAGGTCAAAAAGTCAACCTTTCGAGGAAGAGCTTATGACCAGAAACACAGAAATACATGTAGCTTTGGTAATCAGGAAAAGAATATTGCTGAAATCAAGGAAGCAGGGATACCGGACATCAGAAACACAGGAAAATTGTAGGTATGAACGAATGGTAGACTTATAGATATGTAAATAGATGCTGAAGGAAAATTGTCTCGCCCGACTTAGTGAATGAGTAAATTTCTTAGTAGCTGATCTAGCAATGGATTCAATATATATGGACACTTATTTCAGTTTTGTTTTGTTTATTACAAGGAATTTAAATGGTTAAAGTTCTTGAAATCTCCAATCAGAGATGAAGATAAAGACTTGTAAAAAAATAACCTTGAAGAGACGTCTCGAAGACTCGAGGGATACGTTGAGAATACCATGGACAAGGAACTTAAGACGTGCAAGCATTGATGACTAGAAACAGGTTTATGGAAAAAAATACATAAAATCTAATTTCTCCGTCCCATCATATCCCAAATCCCCATTCCGGATTTCAATTAACGAAAATCATTAACCAACTCATTACACCATTTTAAAGGGTAAAACCATAGTGAGAAAGTTTATTTATCAATGTCCCAAGAAAAAAGATTGATATAATTATAAAGGCAACAATCATTTTAACAATTCACAAGACATATAGAAAATAGGGGCAAAAAGCAAAAGGAACAGAGGCCTAAATATAATTATATTTTAAATAAATAATTATATATATATATATATATATATATATATAAAGTATTTGAGTAAACCGTACTTTTTTTTGTTTGTGTATAAACCTAACCTGAAACCAGATCTTGTGTAAAAAACAACTTTTTATATATATATAATTAATTTTGGGATTTAGCCTTATAGCAATGAGTCTAGAAAAATAACAAAAACCACTGGACGGTCGTCCTATCTGGGAATGTGCGCATCCACTAACGAGAATGGAACACGGACCCTTACGATACAACGCAAACGTCATACCAACTGTACCACGGGACGCGGTGACGAAGGAGACTCAAACTATACTCGATATAGCGCCGCTACTCACTCAGTTCCGCAGCGATACTCATTCAAATATTGAGATAACCTCGGAACAGTGCCCCAAGAGCCACGACTGCTTTCTTACCCTTAGTCGCTCCATCGCAGAGCATAAGCAGGGTCCAGCAAGATATACAAGTAATTAATTTTGGGGATTTAGACTTATAGCATTGAGTCTAGAAGAATC